TTCTGTGGAGTACCCACTGGTAAATCGCCTGTGCTCTATGCTCATTCAAGCAACCCTATTTAAACTCCGTGGGATACACATCAAAGCCAAGGGGCCCTAGTTAAGAAGAAAGTCTTCATTGAGGGAGGGGAGGGACAAGAGAAGACAATGAGATCAAACACATTATTTACATCTATGGTATTGTCAGGATAAAGCCCCCAAAGAAATGTTCTTGCAGAATGAGTTGATCCTTTGTCTTAGCTTTTACAAGGCAAGTAAGTATATCACCTCAAACCTTAGCTGTGTGATTTTTTTAATGTCAACCTCAAATAAAAAAATGAGAAGACGTCATTTCGGGACTGTTTGGGTTGGAAGTAACAAGATGTGCAGTTAAAGGTGGTTCGGCCCCACCCATAATGTGCCATTTAAGATGTCTAGAAGCTCTGGCGGGGGTGGCTGGCTCGTCTAGTGGCTTTCCTGTTGTGGCCACAAGGTGGCGATGGCGCTCAAAATATCGCTTCAGGGAGCAAGGCAAAGGAAAGAAAGCCAGCAAAGGGGCTTTCTCTTCGTTTTAAGTCTCCCTAAGTAGAAAGAAAAAATGGAGGCTTTTTGCAGAATTCCTGGGCAACTTCATCGCATGTCCCTTTTTAGGGACAGAGAGAAAACGGAGCGCCCTGGTTTACTTGAGATGCAGCTGAGCTCTCGGTTTGCAATTCCGGAGCAAATAGGACTTTTATTTACATATTTAACGTTTTTGTTTATTGATGTTTTGAGATGGGGGAAAGAGCTATTGGATAGGCTGCGGATAGTGCCTGCCAGAGGGGCTCAGGAGAAATTGCACACGCCAGATTCCCCTCCTTATGTCAACGTGTGCTCCAAGACAGATTCAGAAATGTTTTTTCCCTTTGATAATTACTTATTCTCTACAGTGACTTAGAAAAATGATTGAACTAAATTTCCTGCCACCAGAGACATGATGACTATAGAGATTAGCAATCAAACTATTTTTAAAAGTCACTCCTCACCCAAACTTCTTACTCTCGCTCTGAGTTGTACGAATCACCTCCGATTTACATATTATCGCGGAGAGCCTTACATGGAGAAGAAACCCCTTTCAAGCCAGACGTTCCATCTAGAACTGACAGTAGCTGGTTCCCAGCATGTCTTTTATGTCTGACATGCTTTTAGAAGACTAATCATATTCCCAGTGACTCTCAGGATTAAAATTTTCTTCTCAAAGCTCATTTTATGGAGATTTTCTAAGTTCTGAAGAATAAAACAATTATTCTTTCTTTTTGAAATTACATGTCAAGTCCAGAAACGTCAACTTCTTTAAAATACTAGCATGAGTGATTGGGATAATTCTCTCTTTAAAATATTAACCTGAGTGATTGGGATAATTCTCTCTTGCATCCTTCCCGCTTTCCTTCGGTGGCCCTTGCTTGCTTTGGCAAACCCTCACTCCTACTAGATTTCATCGCACACCGATTATCCCAAGCTCCAGCTGCCCACGGACAGCTGTTCTCACTGCCCTCCACGAAGCCTCCACTTCCGTGGGAACCCTTGCTTCCCTGGTGTGGCTGATGCTGGGGCTTCACTGCTGGCTTGGGCACAGAGCGTCTGATGGGAGCGATTCCTCTGACTGCCGAAGAGTTGTTTGGAGCTGGTGACGAGTACTGGGTGGAATCTTGCACCAGACACTCTATGTCCTGATTTTTTTTCCCCCCGGAGGGGATGTGAGCCAGGTTGGTGATCGCTGCTGTAATATTGATAGTTTGAGTGGGAACAAGTCTATGACCAAAGCTGAGAAGGAGAGGAAGCCCTGGGCTTTGGTTTGTTACATAACCCAGAAAACTCATGTTTTGCTTAAGCCTCTGTTTGGGTCATGTACTTGCTTGCATGTGACCAAAAGAGTTCTAACATATACAAGAAAATTCTCAGACCCTGAATATTTCAAAAGCTAATATGGAAACCACGTAGGGAACAAATGCATTTATAACTAATGGCCAGAAATTTTAGTACCCCTCACTGAATAATAATGGCCACTCATCACCGAAGACCTTAAGTCTGCTCTCTCTCTGCAGATGTCTAATGCAGCCCAGTCTTTGCAGTGGCCATATGCACGGGGGCCATATGCACGGGGACCATATGCACGGGGCAGTGTCTTCAGGACTGGGCTTGCAAACTTGGTTCCTTTTTCAAATTGTTTCTCAACACCATGAAATCAGATGATGTTGGCCACATCCAGAAGCCTGATAAATTATTGGTCGACACAAACCTCTCATTCTGAAGTGATGTGAGAGTGTGATTCTCAAGTTTCTCTGGCCAGTTCTTTGCTCAAACAGCACCCTTGTGGGAAACAGACACAGCAAACTGACCCAGCTGCTGTGACCACACTCTCTGTGCCTGGCTGAGGGCCATTTGAGTCTTGAAGAGCATTGTGGAGAAATTTTTCTCAGCAGAGAGGTTCCCAAGTCAATCCTGCCAGCTTTCCCCTTGCCACCCCCACTCGCACCCCCTTGGAGCTGAGGACTGAACCCAGGACCTTTAGCTTGCTGATCAAACACTCTACCACTGAGCTAAGTCTCCAACCACTCCCTTCAAGGCTTTTGTCACTTTCTACCTTAGGTGCTCCAGCCTTGTCAATTGTAAATAACCTTTTGTGATGATAAAGCTGGGAGCTAACCAGTTTACCTGGAGCAATCCCCAGAAACGACCCAGTTTGTTTATTATTTCGTTTGTTCTATGCACGTGTGTTTTGCCTGTGTGCAATGCCTTGGAGGTCAGAAGAGGTATCAGATTCCTGGAACTGGAGTTATAGGAGCTGGGAATTGAACCTGGGTCCTTTAGGAGAGTGGCCAGTGCTCTCAGCTGCTGAACTGTCTCCAGCCTTGATTCCAGTTTATTTTGTAGACACAATGGGAAACATGTGACAATTTTTGTCTCTGCCACTGAAGGAAGGACACATTGACTGTGCTACTGATTAAGTTATCTCCACAAACAACAGTGATATTTATTTGTGATCTGACAAATAAAGCTTGCCTGAAAATTAGAGTCACTAGTTAACCATAGAGGCCCATACCTTTAATCCCAGCACTGAGGAGACAGAGGCAGATGGGGCTCTGTGAGTTCAAGGCCATTGATTGACTGTCTGAAAGAGAAACAGAGCTCACACAAAGGTGATTCCAGTACTTGGGATCACACGCCTTTAATCCCAGTCTGAGCATTGGTAGAAGTAAGAACTCTCTAGTGGCTGACACTCTGCTTCTCTGATCGCTCAGCTTTCACCCCCTAATATCTGACTCCAGGGTTTTATTCTTTTTTTTTTTCCCCAGGGTTTTATTCTTAAGAACAATTAGAATTCACGCTGCAAACCCCTCTGCCTACAGCACGGTAGTGGCGCTACAGCAGGACACTGAGTTTTATTGTTAATGGATAATAGTTCACAGGCCTCTAAAGTCAAAGGGACAAAGTCTCCTTCTTATTTCCGTCCTCTGTATATCCAGTTCCTCCCCCCCCAAGGGGTTTGTCTCCTGTAGAGCTCTGTTGCTATGAAGAAACACCATGACCTTGTCCTGTTTAGGGTCACTATTGCTATGAGGAAACACCGTGACCCAAAGCAAGTTGAGGAAGAAAGGGTCTGTTCAACTTCCTCTTCCATTTGTGGTCTGTGGTGGTTTGAATGAAAATGGCCCCCATAGGCTCATAGGGAGGGGTACTATTAGGGGGTGTTGCCTTGTTGGAGTAGGTGTGGCATTATTGGAAGAAGTGTGTCACTGGGGCAGGCTTTGAGGTCTCAGATGGTCAAGTGTGGCCGTCTCTTCCTGCCATCTGCCAAATCAGATGTAGGACTCTCAGCTACCTCTTCAGTGCCTCTGCCTATGTGCCCCATGCTTCCCGCCATGATGGCAATGGACTAAACCCCAATTAATTGTTTTCATTTATAAGAGCTGCTGTGGTCATGATGTCTCTTCACAGCAACAGAAGCTCTAAGATATGGTCCATCACTAAAGGAAGTCAGGGCAGAAATTCAAACAGGACCAGAGCCTGGAAGCAGGAGCTGATGCAGAGGCCATGGAGGGGAGCGACTTACTGGCTTGCTCCTCATGGCTTGCTCAGTCTGCTTTTTTAATTTATTTTCCAAGACAAGGTTTCTCTGTGTAGCTTTGGAGCTGTCCTGGAACTCTGTAGATCAGGCTGGCCTCAAACTCACAGAGAATTGCCTGCCTCTGCCTCCCAAGTGCTGTGATAAGGCATGAGCCATCACCGCCTGGCTTCAGCATGCTTTCTTATAGAACCCAGCATCACCAGCCCAGGGATGGTACCTTCCACCATGGGCTGGCCCTCGCCCATCATTGATTGAGAAGTGTCCTCCAGCCAGGTCTTAAGAAGGCATTTTCTCAGTTGAGGTTCCCTCTTTTCAGATGACTCTAGCTTGAGTCAAGTTGACATAAAAGTAGCCAGGACAGTGACCAAAAGAAACTTGGGGAAGAAAGGGTTTATTCTGATTACACTTCCAAACTGTGCATCAGCAAAGGAAGTCATGGCAGGAACTCAAATGGGAGGAGCCTGAGGGAAGGAGCAGATGCAGAGGCCATGAAGGGGACTACTTGCTGGTTTGTGGCAACCTGCTTTCTTACAGAACCCAGGACCACAATGGGCTGGACCTCCCCACTAGTCACTAATTAAGAAAATGCTCTCCAGACCTGCCTACAGCTGCATCTTGTGGAAACATCTTGTTTGAGGCTTTCTCATCTCAGATGATTCCAGCTTGGGTCAAGTTGACATAAAAACTAGCCAGCACAGGGTTTTATTTTATTTTATTGAGCCTGGTGCGGTGGTGTGAATGAGAATGGCTCCCATAGCCTCAAATATTTGAATACTTAATACCCAGTTGGTGGAACTATTTGAGAAGGATTGTGGCCTTGTTGGAAGAGGCATGTTACTGGCCTGGGGAATGGGTTTTGAGGTTTCATAAGCCCTGCCATTTCCAGTTAGTGTTCTTTCTCTCTCTCTTGCAGGGGCTGAATTATGCGGGCCCATATTCCTACATTGTCTGGTGGTCAGAGAATTCTGAGCGACCTACAGGACGCAATGCAATTGACACCTGCCACACAGAAGATGGTCGCCTGGCTTTTGATAGGAAAACAACTTGATGCCATGCTAAACAGTGATCAGGATAGGCTAATGTCATTCTGCTCCTTCTATTGTAAGTTAGGAAATCACCTGTGGAAGAGATTTTTTTTCAGTACATGACAAAATGGGCACAGGTATAGACGTGACCTAAATCATCCCATCCCACACACATACCTAGGAAACAGAATGTTAATGAACTCCCCCTCAGTTTACATTTGATATAAAAGATGTTTGGAGAATAAATGGGGGGTGATGTGAATTCAGGATTTTATGAAGGATCACTGAAACTCCTCTGATACTGTCATGTGAATTGTGCTTCACTAATTCCCACACCTCCACTCTGATATGAGAAATGATTTATGCCAAGGCTGGTCCCTGACACTCTCTTTCCACCCCAACCCCCACCCTCTGCCTCATGGTTGTGGATTGAGATGTGAATCCTGCACCAATGCCATGCCTGCCTGCCTGCCGCCGCCATGTTCCCTAACACGATGGTCTAGAACCCGCTGGAATCATGAGTCCCAAATTAAATGCTTTCTGAATTAAATGCTTTTTCTAAATTGCCTCTGTCACTGTGATAAACAAGCAACTAAGGCATAGGGTCTCTTTGTGAGTCCCCACCAAATAAAAAAAAAAAAAGCTCCATTATACTAAATTCTGAGCTAGTGTGGGACTACTTTATTCATGTTCCCCTACAACTTTGTAGACCACACTGGCCTTGAACTCTCAAAGATTTTCCTGCCTCCTTCTTCCAAGTGCTGGGATTAGAGGTGTGTGCCACCCTGCCCTGCTCATTTTTATCTCTTGATGCATTCTTCCAGAATTAGTTTTCATACTCAATCAAATCTGAGTAAATGTTACCTTCTCCCTTACCTCATCAATGGGGCACCTTACTCTTCATTGATGAGCTCTTTCTCTCTCTCTCTGTCATTTGTTTGTGTGTATGCATGTGTGTTCTCATGTGTGAGTGTGCACACATGTGCACACACATACATGTGTATGTGGAAACAGGAAGTTAATGTGGACTGTCTTCTTCACTTGCTCAACACTTTTAGTTCTGAAGCCTCCCCCGTGTCTGCCTCTTGATTCTTAGATTCTAGGTGGCTGCCACACCTGCCCTGCTTTTACCTGGGTTCTGGGGAGCCAAAGTTTGGTCCTCACTTGCATTGCAAGTGGTTTTCCTATTGAGCCATTTCCCCAGGTCCACTGAAGGAGGCACAGGCTTGCTCCCATCTCCATGCCTGCAGAGCTTCCTCTTTCCTTTTGACAGCCTCTAAGGATGTCACAGTTTCATAATACGTGGTTTCAACAACATCCTACTGTATGTATTTGATTGGCTCCAAACTTTGGCCATTATAAACAATGCTATCATAAACATGTACATAAGTCAACCTGACTTTGGGTATGTTATCGTTTTTATTTATTTTCCCTTCTGTGCTGAGGTGGAACCTCAGGCCTCCTGCACACTAGGCAAGTGCTCTATCACTTAGTTACATCCCAGGCTTGAGTGTATATCTGAAATGAATGTCTAGAAGTGGAGTTTGTTTTCTTGTACCAAGGGTGCATGTATTTGAAATTCATGTCTAAGACATTTGCATGTTTTGCTTATGGGGTCTTGCCATGTAGCCTTGGCTGGTCTGGAACTTGTTATGTAGACCAGTCTGGCCTCAAACTCACAGAGATCTGCATGCCTCTGCTTCCTGAGTGCTGGGATTAAAGGTTTGCACCACCATACCTAGCCTCTCCCCAAGTTTAAAGTTTTATTATATTTGAAAAATAATGAATACCTGTAATATCTGATTCTGTGTTACCCTGTGGGTACAGTACGCATGCCACTGTACCGTACGCGAGCTGGTAAGGGCATGGAGATTGAAAGAACACACAAGAGACCCGGGTCATTCGAAAGGAGATCAGCTGAATGCCATTTATTCAAACTTAGGGAAAACCTTATATACCTAGCTGCTGCACAAGGAATTCCCCCCCAGGCAGGTGGGAAATTGCCACACCCAAGATGGAGTAAACAATGCCCTATAGCTAACCACCAGGAGGGGCAGAGGGAGCACAGGAACAAACAGAATGTTTTAGCTGGCTGACCAGAAACTGTCCTCAAGATGAACCCCAGGAGCAGGGGTAGACCCATGGGCCCTACACATACCATAATAAAAATTCCAAATAGAATAAAAACATATACAGGGAAAGTCCATCCCTCGACCCCTCATCTTCTAGGCTTCCTCCCCAAAGGGCATATATGCATAGTTCTACACATCATACATGTATGTGGACTTGCATAGACAACTCAGTATTTGACAGCACTTGTTTTTTCTTAAAAGGAACATAAGTTATATGTCATTCTGCACCCTCAAGTTTTCATTTATTTGTTTATTGAGTTAGTAGTTTTGTGACAGGATGTCACTATAAAACCAAGCTGACCTGGAATTTGCTGGGTGGCTCAGGCTGCCTTTGAACTCATGGTCTTTTTGCCTTGGGGATCACGGATATATGCCACTATATCCAGATCTGCACCCTCAGCTATTAATTTACTATATCTTGACATTCATTACACAGTGTAATACTAGTAGGTCAAACTCATTCTCTTTAAAGTCAATATGGCATTTACTTCAAGGACACCGGCATTAACTTTCTAGCTTTTTAAAATCAAGGTATAATTTACATAAAAATATAATTTTTTAGCATACATTTAAACAAACCTGTATACCCTATTATGATTTGCTAGGACTTGAACGCAGGGCTTTACCCATGCAAGGCTAATACTTTACCACTGAGCTTCACCCCCAGACCTGTCTGTCATTTTAGTGTTTTTCCCATTATCCCTTCAAGGCGTTGTACCAGTTCACACTTGCACCGGTAGGATATGAAGCCCTCTTCCTGCAGCCTTGCCAAATTCAATGCCATCAGTCTTTAGATTTCTCCAATGTATCGGTAGAAGTAATAATACATTCTTATTTAAAGTGTCAGCTCTCTCTCTCTCTCTCTCTCTCCATCTCTGTGTGTATGGGGGGGGGGTTGGGGGAGGTCTTGCTATGTAGCTCATACCTGCCTTGTACTTGAAATCTTCCTGTTTCTACTCCCCAAGTGCTGGAGTTACAAGCATATGTCATCACACCCAGCCAGTGCTACACAGAAAAACCCCGTCTCCAAAAGAAAAAAAAATGCATTTATTACTATTATGTGTAAGAGTGTACAATGTGCATGTGTGGTGTGGAAGTTCTTCTGTATATGTGTGGCTTTTATTGGTTAATGAATAAAGATGCTGCTTGGGCCTATGACAGAGCAGAACAGAGCAAGGTGGGAATTCCAAGCAAACATAAAGGAGAAAAGTAGGCAGAGTAGAGAGGATGCCACGTAATTGCCAAAGGAGAAAGACTTCGGAACTTTACCCAATAAGCCACAATCTTGTGTTGATACACAGAATAATAGAAATGGGTTCATTTAAGATGTAAGAGTTAGTTAGTAAGAAACCTAAGCTAATAGGCCAAGCAGTGCTTCAGTGAATGTAGTTTCTGTGTGATTATTTCAGGTATGAACAGCCAGGAAATGAACGAGCAACCATCATTTTCATTTAGACAGAAAAGGGGAGGTGATGTGGATCCCCCCTCTGAATGCTGTGAATATGTCTTATTACTATTGGTTAATAAAGAAGCTGCTTAGGCCTATGACAGGGCAGAATAGAGAAAGAATAGGAATAGGAGTTCCAAACAGAGATAGAGGAGAAAAGAAGGTGGAGTCAAGACAGACACCCTGGAACCTTATCGGTAAACCATGATCCTTGTGGTAACATACAAAATAATAGGAATCGGTTAATTTAAGACATAAGAATTAGTTAATAAGAAGCCTGAGCTAATAGGCCAAGCAGTGTTTTAATTTAGTTTTTGTGTGATTATTTTGTGTCTGGGCTGCTGGGAAACAAACAAGTGGCCTCTGCCTACACGTGTGCTCCTGTGCCATGGTGCTTATGTGGAGGTCAGAGGGAAACATGGTGTAACTGATGCTCTCCTCCCCTCTCCACGTGAGGTCGCCAGCCTTGCACAGCAGGTGTCTTTACCTGCTGAGCCATCTCAAAGGCTTCAGTTTTCTTATTTATTTGGAGGGACGCTTAATAGTTTAGAAAATGTGCCCCTGTCTGTGATATGAACCATGGAGTTTTGGGAAACTCGATATGCATAGAAATAGCATGTAAGAACTGTACTCCCTAGTCAGGTGTGGTGGGCACACTACACTACACTCAGGAAGCCAAGCCAGACAGCTCTCTGAGTTTGTGATCAGCCTGGCCTACATACTGAGTCCAGGCCAGCAAGGATAACTGGAAAAACTTCTGGAAAATCCTCTCCAGTGGCTCTTTTGAAAGTTATAATTAGTCGTAAATGATAGTTAGGGGATTCAGCTTTCACAGCTTTGGGATTGCTTGCTTGCTTGGTTTGGTTTGATTTTTGTTTTTATTTCAAGATAGAGTTTCACTATAGAGCCCTGGCTGTCCTGGAACTCACTATGTAGACCAGGCTGGCCTCAAACTCACAGAGATCCACCCGCCTCTGTCTTTCAAGTGCTGGGATTAAAGGCCTGTACCTCTACGCCTGGTTTAAAGCTGATGCCTTTTTGTTTGTTTGCTTGTTTTCTTTTTCTTTTTAAGTATTTCTGTTTTCTTTTTTCACTTATTTTATTTTTTTAAAAAGAAAACAAACTGCCTTTTTTCGTTTTACATACCAATCCCAGTTCCCACTCCCTCCCCTCCTCCCATTCCCTCCCCCTTCCTTCTCACCCCCCCCACCCCGCCTCTACCCCCATTCACTCCCCAGAGAGGGCAATGCACATTGCTCTGATGAAGGACCAAGGCCCTCCCCACTCTATCCAGGCTGAGGAAGGTATCCATCCAAAGAGAATGGGTTCCAAAGAGCCAGTACAAGCAGCAGGGACAAACCCTGGTGCCACTGCCAGTGGCCCCACAGTCTGCCCCAAAGCTGATGCTTTATATGCAGTGTAAACAAACACATTTCTAAATAAAATGCCTGAATGTGGCCCGGTACCCAGGAAGATGGGAAGTCACCTCTCCATGCTTCCTGCCATGTCTTCCCAAGCTTGCCGTGTCACTCTAAAGCAAAGACTAAGTTCACAGTTTTGGTGTGCTGTCTCTAGTCTGAAGAGCTGATGTTTAACAAAACTTTTTTCTTGAACTCGGGTTTATACAGGAGAAGGATCGGGATTTAAGAAAATAAAATTCTTGTCTGCATGCGATCTGAAGAAATAAGCTGTGCTGTGCTGTGTTGTTCCGTCTCCAGCACAGCGAAAAACATCTTGGGAACTGAAAATGGCACCGCAAGCTTTGCTTGATTGACTTCAGTAGTTGTAGAATGTTTAAGAGATGTCTTCATTGACGGGGNNGGGGAGTGGAGAAAGGAGCAGCTCTGCTTCTTACCTGTGGACTAGTGGCTGGCACAATGGATGCAGGACTATAATTAAGTCACCTCTTACGAGCGTGCGCCAGGTGAGCAGTAGCCACTGGCTTTGATTTTCACTTGTTTATTCTTGATATTAAACACGTCATGTGCTCTCTCATCATAAACGGCTTTCTTCAAGAATGAGTAGTTGACGGAAGCCACACATGCTGCTCGCATCCTTATCTTTCATCTCTACGTTATTGCCAACCTCTATCCTTAATGTGATGACCAGTGCTTCCTGATCATTAATGAGAGGCAGTGGTCAGAATGGGAAATTCATGCACCAAAACCTAAATCTTTGCATCCACTCTTCCTGAATTCTTCTGTGGAACTGGCTCCTTGAATGAGCAGGACTTGTGTCTTGCAATCAGAGAGGCAACTTTATTTTCCTCTCCAGTGGTCCCTTTAAAGCTGGTCAGTGGAAGAAGAAGTCTTTGCCGTCCCCTCTGGATGAGAATTCAAGCACTGCCATCACATTTCTGCTCTTGGAGGAATAAATATCCTTTGATTGGTTTGACACCACTAACGTAGCCGTCCTCTGGTGTTTAAGGCGTCCATTTTCCTTCAGCTGGAGCCTGCTGCAGATAAGGGTCCGTGCAGGTAAGGGCCCAAGGTCTGGAGAAGGTAGGAGGAGTAATCTTTCAATCCTCTGTCTCTGTCTCTCTGTCTCTCTCTCTGTCTCTCTCTCTGTCTCTGTCTCTCTCTCTCTCTCTCTCTCTCTCTTTCTCTCTCTCTCTCTCTTCCTTCCTTTTCTCCATCTCTCTCCCTACTCTCTTCCACCTTCCCTAACCCCACCGTCTATGCTGATTAGTTTTTACTCTTGACACCACCTAGAGTCCTCTGGGAAGAGGGAATCTCAACTGAGGAGTTGCCTCCATCAGACTGGCCTGTGGGCATCTCTGTGGAACATTGTCTTAATGGTTCAGTTGATGTCAGAGGACCCAGCCCACTGTGTGCAGCACCATCCCTAGGCAGCTGTCTGGGTTGTGTAAGGCGGCTGAGCATGAG